GTGTTCAGATTTGTATAGTAATTTTAGTTTTGTGTTTCTGTTTCATGTGATTTATAGCGCCAGTTTTTACGTGCATCGTGAGTCTTCTCGATAACTTGGTCGTCGTCTCGTACCAATATATTCGGAATTATGGTGTCTTCACTCACCAATATTACGTTTGAACAATTATAAATCATCTTCATTTGTAACAAATATATCGTCAACATATCGGCAGTATATATTAGGTTTTAGCTCTGGTTCCTTTATTAAAAAACATTTCTTCGATATGTTTAAAATAAAAAACCTCCTTGTTTGTTTTTAATATAATTGTTTATTAAAGAAACGTTAATTGAAATATTAGTAGACACGTTAGTCGACAAAAAGCGAAAAGCATACACGTGCAAGTTAGTCAAGTTAGCAATAATATAAGATTCTGAAACTATGGAAAGTCATAAATATATTGAAACATATATAATATACATATATATTATTTCAATACTTTCCCTTGTTTCAAAACATTTTATGACATTAGTCTCATATGTCCACACAGGAGTTTCAGTATGACTCTGTCCAGTGGCTTTGTCATCACATCAGCGACTTGATCACTTGTTGAAATTTGTGTGATATCAACCGTTCCATCTTGAATTTTTTCTCTAATAAAAAAGTTCTTCAAGTCAATGTGTTTTGTTCGCCGATGAAATTGTGGGTTCTGAGCTAATTTGATTGCAGCACTGTTGTCAACTTGCAAGATTGGCACATCTTTCAAATTAACCTGTAATGATTTGAATAATCTTTGAAGCCAAATTATTTCTTTGACAGCCTCTGTCGCAGCGATGATCTCAGCATCTGTTGTAGATGTTGCAACTATGGCCTGTCGTTGACTAATCCATGATATTATGCCTCCTGCATATATCACTGCAATACCTGTGGTCGAACGCCCAGTCTTTCTACAGCCTCCAAAATCTGAATCACTGAAACACTAAAACTCCTTTTGTACTGTCTGATCTGTACACAATGCTCTGATCGATTGTTCCTGCTAAGTATCTAAGCACACGTTTTGCTTTTATTATATCTCCTGGTGTTGGGTTCTCGAGGGAGGGTGATAAATAGCTAATGCTGTACGCAATGTCTGGCCTTGTACCTAACATCAGGTACATTAATGCTCCAACTAATTGTCAAAAAGGGTATTCTGAACCTGCTATGTCTGATTGATTATTATCATTTTCTTTAAGCATTGGGGTGTGAACTGGTTTACATTCTTCAAATCTGAAAAGTTTAAGAATTTTCCTTGCATAACCAGATTGACAAACTTTTATGCTTCCATCCAATAGAGTTTTGTTTGAAGACCTAGAAAATATGTTGCAGGTTTAACTGTAACCTGAAATTTCAGCTTCAATTTTCCAATGAATAGATCTAAATCTTCTGTGTTGCTAGCGGCTATCAGTCCATCATCAACATACAATGCTAACATCATAATGTTTTCATTCTGTTTTTTAACATACAGACATGGATCCGCTTCACTCAACTTAAAGCCACATTCAAAAAAAAACTTGCCGAAGCATTGATTCCAACAACGAGGTGCTTGCTTTAGACCATACAGACTTTTGAGCAATCGACAAACTTTATTTGAGCCATCATTATATCTTTCTGGTTGTTTGATGTGGATCACTTCATCAAGTTCACCATACAGGAATGCAGTTGATACATCAAATTGAAGAAGATGCAGTTTTTCACTTGCTGCAATACTTAGTACAGAGCGAACTGTAGTCAACTTTACTACTGGACTAAACATCTGATTGTAATCTACATTTTGTCGTTGTGAAAATCCTTTTGTCACAAGTCTTGCCTTGTATCTATCTACATTTCCGTCTGGCAAGGTTTTTATTTTGTAAACCCATTTATATGGAATAACTTTAGCTCCTCTGGGTAGCTCACAAAGTTCCCAAGTTCTATTTTTGTTTAATGAATTAATTTCATTATTCATGGCATCATTCCAATATTTACTTTCCCTGCTTTGAATGGCTTCTTCGTATGTATCTGGTTCATGTACATCTAATAAATATGTCTCAGCCTGCATCACAGAATCATCTAACTTCTTAGGTTTCTGCAAGCTTGACCTATCTCTGAGTTGAACTTTAACTGAATTATCTATAATCTTCTCAGTGTCATCTGTAATTTCTTCTTTTGAATCATCATTTCTACTACTCGAGTCATTTTCTGATTTGCAATTGATTTGAGGATCTGTTGTAAAATCTTTTTGAGTCTGATGTTCAAATGATGTTGTACATTTCATAGGTTTTTCTTGGAAAACTACATCTCTTGAGAATATCATTTTATATTGATTTTTGAGCCATATACGATAGCGTTCGTCACCATCGTAACCAACAAGGTAACCTTTTATGGCTTTCTTATCCATTTTTTGACGTTTTTGATCAGGTATGTGAACAAAACATGTAGAGCCAATTATTCTCGAATGGTTAAACCTTGGCTTTTTACCTGTCCAAATTTCAAATGGGCTTTTATCTTCAATCGACGACTTGCCTGTTCGATTAAGTAAATATACTGCAGTTGAACATAACTCAGCCCACATAGCGACTGGAAATTCAAAATCTGGATTTGAGTACTTCAATACTTCAATGTGCGTGTCATTTCTACTATTGTTCTGTTTTCACGTTCACTACCACCATTTTGTTGAGGTGTATATGGTGCTGTTAGTCTTTGCGTGATTCTATGGCTGCGCAGGATGTTTCGAACTTCTTCGTTGTCAAACTCACCCCCATTGTCACTCAAAAACTCTTTTACTGTATGACTTGAGTCGCTGCTTGAGACAAAATATTTTGTAGTGCCTGTTTCACTTCATTTTTGTGTCTAAGAAAAGAAATGAACCTCATTTTGCTGTAATGATCTTTGAAAACAACAAAATATCGTTTACTATTAAATGATTCTGTACTGAAAGGACCACAAACATCTGCTGATAGTAGTTCACCTGGTTTATTGGTTGCATTTTTTCGCCAAATTTTAACCGATGAGCTTTACCATAGAGACATAGTTCACACAAATCCTTGTCAAGATGAACTTTAATGTTTAACTCCTTTTCTATAACATTCTTTATGTGACGTTTATCTTGATGACCAAAACGTTCATGGTAGAGCTGCACTATTGAATTTTCACTGACTATATTCACTTCAGCCGGTGTATCTGGAGTTAATGAAATCAAGTTTGCCTCATACAAGGAACCATCTACTCGTCTTGTCCCTTGTACTACCACTCGGTTCTTTA